TTCGATAGATCGGTAGTCTTCAAGGCAATCGCATCTCCACGGAATTCAGATAGGAGTGTCTTTCCACTTCGTCCTTGACCTAATATATGCTTAAACTTAAAGTCCGCAAAGCTAAAATTCTGTTGATATGGCTGATCTGCCGAGGCGTTGGAAGATGATCCTTCAGTTGAGTTTTTTTCTTCATTTGAGTTTTTTTTCTCATTTGAGTAACGTGTTTACTTGTAACGTCCGGAATTACATTAAGGTTGGAAGAATTGGGGTGAGCTCTTGCTTGCAAAGCTATATATGCATAAGCCTTAAGTACCGATGGAGATTCTGACTGCGATGAAAGAGTTTTTGAAATCAAAAGCACTGCTGGAGTATCCGCCGGTCGGCGCAGAAACCAGTGTTCATTATAAGTGGAGAGTACACCGTATTGAAGTTCATTGAAAGTCATATAGTTATAAATCTGTTGAATTACCATCTTTGCTTTATTGTCCGAGTCATAAAAGTCTGGAAATACTCGTCCGCCAATGTTTTGTAAAACGAGTCCCCTCTTGATCTCAATCGACAAGATCAATACTTTTTGAGCATAGTAGCAAGTGAAATCCTCTATACCAGGAGCAGCAGTTGGCCGTCTCGAAAAGTCGTAATATGACGCCATAAGCACATTTAATACCATACAAATATTGTTGTTGAAAGCGTCGCGAACACCCTCACATTAGAATAAAATTGAAATCGCCGTTGATTGAAGTCGAATTGATTCACTTCCTCGAAAAATGTTTCCCAAAGCAGTACTCGTGTTGGCCGACTAGAACAGTCTACCTGCGTAGTAGTCGTCGAAGTAGTAGCATTCAGAGAATACCTGATAGGTGGCGTAACACACGACAATGCCTCTTCTAGACTTAGAACTAGAAAAATAAAGAGGCGTGGCTTGAGTAAATATTACGGGAATGACGTAAAAATCTGCATATTGTGCTCAGCACTTACGTGGCAACTTTACGATGACATGGACAAACTCATCTGCAGGCTGTTCAGGGAAGTATTTACTAATCTTTTTCGTAGCTAGGAGTTCGT